CTTTAAATTATTTATTTTTGATTTGCAATTTTCGAACTTTTTCAGAGCGTGGTTTTCGATAAATTTCCAAATTTAAACTTTTCTTTAAAAAATTTAACCTACTTTTCATGGTGTCGTTAAAAGGCTGATAAAACTACGACTGAAGAGGAAGTAGCCAGAGGAGTTAATATTTTAGTCATCGATACATCTGGGGGAGGGCCTGTATTTCTTACCTATCAACAGGTAAATTAACCAGTATTTCTCACCTGTCAACAGCTAGGTAAATTTTCCTGTATTTTTTAACTTTCAACTGGAAAATTTAACTGTACCTTAGCAAAAAATTTACAAAAGTTAACAATATTTCTAATGAATTGATTATATGTTGTTTAACGTCCCATTCGAGAATTTTTCAATCATATCGAGACTTTACTTATGCACTACCACTAAGCTACCTTGACCGGTATATTGTTAATGATACATATCTCTTCAAGTTTGTGAATATTTTAATATTTTAATTATTTCCATTCAATATAACAAATATGCATGTTTTAACTACAGAACAATAAATAAAAAAAATCTGAAATCCATATTAAAAAAACTTAAAACTGATTCATTATAGTAAAATCTTTGATTTACTATAGTAAAACTTTGAAACTATAGTTAACTATTGACTAATACACTGTAATAGTTACTTTAGTAAGCTCTAGTTAACTAAAGTTTATTTTTCTTAGGGTAATTCTTACCAATCAAAAGGTAAATTTACCTGTATTTCTTACCTGTCAAATGGTAAAATCATCTATCTTTTAAAAAAAACTACAATCAATCGACTCTAATAAAGCAGTTACAGTACCAACCAGACTCAACCTGACACCTAAGCAGTCCCAGAAAGCAGTCCTCGGGACTGCTTTGGGACTGCTGTGGAACTGCTCTGGGACCGCTGTGGGACTGCTCTGGGACCGCTTTGGGACTGCTCTGGGACCGCTTTGGGACTGCTCTGGGACTGCTGTGGGACTGCTCTAGAAAGCAGACCCAGCAGTCACTGGGACTGCTTTCTGGGACTGCTTTGTTCACTTATGCGTGAAAAAGGTTCTGAGTGACATGATAGCTCCGCCCCTTGTGTATTCTGAATTTGCAGGCTCCCTGTTATTGTTTTGTTTACTTTCTGTAGAGAGGTGTTAAGATAAAAAATAAAAAAGAAGTATTTCTTACAAAATTTAAATAAGTAGAGATAGTTATGCATGTAATTACTAAATGTTTTCAGGGGCTGTAAATTTACACAATTGTAGACAATTTACACAATTGTAGAATTAATTCTAAAAAATGAAAGTAATTAAAAAGGGAGGTCAGGGGATGATTTTTATCCCTTCAATACAGGTATTTTAAAAAAAATATCTAGGCTTATTTAATAAATTAATACTATTAGATTATGTACTCAAAGTTTGCATTAGCACTATTAAAAAAAAAACAAACAAACAAAAAACAAACAAACTTGTCATTCAGTAAGATATTCAGAGAGATGTACTGTACTGGATTTATTTCTGAATTGAAAAAGCTACTATGCTTAAAAAAAGAGTACTTCATGCTATTTTTTACGGCCATTAAATAAAACCTAATGATTTATTAAATGACAATGAAATAAAATTATTCTACCATTCTTCTGTCACATAAACAATGTGAACAATTATTGGGGGATTTATTAATGAATTAATTTTTAATTTATAAACAAGTTATTAAAAGGGTACATTTATTTATTTAAAAAAATAAACATTTGAAAATATCGGGAATTGGGACTTATTTCTTATTTGTTTTGTTTGTGTTTACCTGGCCGATTAACAAAAAGCAATACAATATGGTATAAAATGGTGTCAACACCTGAGGTTTCAATCGCCTTTGGGCATAATTAGCAGAAAGTCAATGCATGTTAGTTGGGTATCAGAGTTAGACATCACTGAACACGCTGGTCAACAAAGACACTAATTTCAATCTGTGTATTGACAAAAAAATCTTTGTTTCAATAATATTAATTGTGTATAAATTTATTTCGGGATTAATTAATTTTGAACATAATCTGAGGGTTCCATGCTTTACAGGTGTACACTTGAACATTTATATAATAAAACACTTTAAACTGAGAATCTAATAATTAAATTGGCAAGTCATTGAAAATAATCAAGACTGAAATATAATACTCGACAAAATTTATCAAAGAATATTTCAAAAGCTCCAATACTTAGGAAAATGCATTCAGAGTATAGTATGGGAACTGGCATTGCTCTACAATTATAAGATCTATTTAAAGCTAATTCTGGTAAAAAATAAAAAAAATCAAATTAATTTTCTATATAAAAAAAATAAATACAAAAACCAATATCAATCACAGAAAATGAAGACATTGATTTATTTTGGTGAAAAATTAATATACCAAATAATTGTATTTAAATATTCATGTTATTAATGGGTGTGAATGTCTTCTTCGTTCAATAATTATTATTAATTCTATACACGTACTGTAATTTTCTTAACAGTTCAGAAATGACTGTCGTGTAAGAATTGCAAATATTTGTTGATACTACTCAGAAAGAAATGATCATCAATTTCAACTGCCTTTTATAGTTACATTGTTTATTGGTAATCTCTTTTCTGAGTAAACTCCGCCCATTAAATTAATTAACCCCGCCCACTGGGACTGCTTTCTGGGACTGCTGGGACTGCTTTCTGGGACCGCTGGGACTACTGGGACCGCTATGGGACTGCTGTGGGACCGCTCTGGGACTGCTTTTGCAGTCCCAGAAAGCAGTCCCCGGGACTGCTCTGGGACTGCTTTGTGTCAGGTGGGATCTGGTTGGTACTGTATATGACGTATAAGCAAACTTTTGGGAAAAAAAGTCTTATGCTTCATCACAAAAATGTACAATAACTTTCACATGCATATATGTATACTTGCATGAAAATATATTTATATATAACTAGAAATTGCTTGTAAGGAAACCTCTGCTTTAAAAAAAAAAACTTGAGTCTCATAGAACACTGGTGTATTATATATATATAAATTATCGTCTAACTCCTAAACTCTGTCACAACCCTTATCTGTCAATTTAAAAAAAAAAATGATTGAAAATGTACAATCAAATGTCGAGACTTTATAAGCATCAATAATAAACATCACTTGTAAAGGTCATAACTAAGTGTGGCAAACAAAACACAATTTCCTGCAAAAATTCAAACTCAAAAATATAACTCAGAGGGTAACATGACTTTTTTTCTTCTTAAGTTCACGGAGTTTGGGTCGGAAGATATACTTAGCTTTGATTTACTAGATTTTCTGCTATTTTGATGTTTACTTCAATAATTTGTCTTATGATATCCTAAAATAGAACAGTCTTTTTTTACCTAGATTTTATAACCATTAGATTCACTGCAGTTTAACTTTTTAAAAGAATAACCTGCAACAGCCGTTTGACATTAATTTTTAATATATTTGCACTTTAAATACAGAAAGTTATAGAACTTCTAAAGCTAATGAAGAGTGTGGTTATACCTGGCTGCACGGAATCTGCAGACAGATTCAAGCTGGCAGATCTTCAGACTATTTTTAGCACCATGGATGCTCTAACACGCTATCAACCTTACTTATCAATGGAGGCAGTGGTTCGTAAACATTATATTTTTAATTCTTTGAGTATTGTTTTACTGATAATTTTGGAAAAGTTTTTAACCTATAGTACGGTTGACTGTAAAGTAAACCTTTAAGAGTTCGATCTGATAAAAATCAAACATCTTGATCCGCTCACATTGATCTTTACAAAAGCGATTCATATGAATATATCAAAAGATTTGATTTAAATCAGATGATGAAAAGTTTAGATATTTCAAGAGCTGATATTTACGCTTACTTTTTAAAATACAGGTGAGCTTTTTCTGATCTTTTTTTAAAAAAAAATATTTCCGTCTTTTGTACTGTTTGTTTAAAATTACTTTCTCTAAATTTCCATTTATCTAGAATATTAGATAATGTGAAATTTATTAAATTAAGCCATCATTGTTTGTTATCTTTACATATTTCATTAAAAAGGAACAACAGTAGAAATCAGAGTTTCACATCAAAATATATCCAAGAAATGACTTTTTAATTATTTTTAAGCAAAAGAGTCATATAAAAGAGTCTAATTACTTACAAGCTTCCCAATGGAGTTCATGTTCATTTTTTCTCCTCAAATGTTCACGCCATATGTAGGATTAAGAAACAACAGTATTCAAAAAAATATTGCGACTAAGATAGTTTCCACTTGAAATAAAAGGGAGAGATCATGTGAATTATTATATTAAGCTTTATTTTTCCATACATGTATCAATGTATCCTTATGAAGTGCAGACGCCAACTGTGTCAGTCACCCATATGGTTAAGGTCACAAAAAGTTACATACTTTCATAAGCATGTAAAATATTAATTTCCTCAAGCATAAAAAAAAACAATTTTAAACTTCATGTCACGACTTCCTAAACTCTTTATTGAATTTGAAATCATAGACTAAAATATATAAATATTTATTAGTTAGAAAAATATATATGTGCAAAGTGTCTAACCATGAGCACCTTGTCTTATATTAACAGCATTTAAATACCGTTTCAGCAAAATTTTTAGCGAGGATTCAATTTTGGCTTTTTTAGCGAGGGTGTTGAGATCGCTAAAATTAAGTATTGTCAACAATTTATTCCCTAAAACTGAAAAAACAAATGCTCATTTAATTTTACTTTAAAATTGTAACAGAATATAACAACTGAAATTCTGGATATTGTGATATCCTGCCTCGAAACCGGAAGTCGTAGACGTCCATTCCCGACACGCTCAGTGGTAATCTTGAATGATATAGCAAAAGGCAAGGCTTCTTGATTTCTCCTTTTTTGGTTCTACTTTTGAAAACCTGGTACACATAATTCTTTCAATGTCCATGCTTATCATTTTTGAAAAATCATTTCTTTTAAAAGTTTTCCATCGTGTGCTGAATAATATTTTGAACAAGATGTTACCAGAAAAACTACAAGACCTGAATGAGGAGCTCTCAGAAGAGGCCATCAAAGGGGATATAATTATTGGAATCAAGCGTTTTCTACAAGAAACTGATCTGTTACAAAAGGACCAGGGTAACATTACATTAGATTACAGTGAGATAAACAGAAGAGCCCATATGCTTTATCGAATACGATCACATCATCGACAATTGCAGATCCTGCAGCGAGATACAGTAAATTAAATATTTTTGTTGTTGCTTTTGTTTTGTTTTAGTGTCCGAAAATAAGGTTTGAAATTGAAGAAAAGAGTAAAGAATATGTCTAGGAATAAAAAAAAAATTAAAAAGTTAAATTAAATAAATAAATTTAGAAAGAAAAAGAGATATCATCATTAAAATATATTTTGGGTTCAACAGGTAATCCATTACATGTGTAAATCTTAACGTTAACCTTAACTTAATCCGAAATGCATGTATTAAAAAGAAAAATTCTTTACCGTTTTTTTATAACTTTTATTATCATAGTCTATTTACCTTGTAGTGTGAATGGACGATTTAAAAAAAATATCCAAGTCCATATCTTTCAAAGCATTTAAATTGAGTCTAGACATAGATAACATTTTGAAAAGAGCAGAGTGAACTTTTAATAAAGATTCAAAGTTAATCACTTTGTCAACGAGCACTTATGCCCAGATCTTTTTATGTTTTAATTTACTATCAAAATTATCTATTTTGTAGGCAAAAAAGTTTATCCCTATTATAAAGGAAATTCTTCGTGTCTTTGTAACCGTCTTGCAGAAAACAATTGTTGTTGGAGAAAGAATCAGCTTCGATGGTCTTGGTGTATTGGATATTATGATACGGAAACTTTCATCAAAAGATTTTGTGGATGCCCCAGATAAATTTTTTGTGAACTTAAATAATGTTAACGGTTCTAAAAACCAGGATCCTTACTATGAAATAGCGGTAAAAATCTTCTTTTTATCTTAGAAGAAAACTTCTATAAAATAAGTTTCAAAATAACTTTCCACATAAATCTTGTAAATCCATGCTTTAATTCATTTTTTGTTTGAATACCTTTATAGAAAAGTGAACATATCCAAATCACTACCAACATCAAACTTTTTCAATAAACAAAATTATTTTTGTGCATCATTCAAGGTTTTGAACTTCATGAAAAATCCCTACATATACGGTGAAAATGCATCCGAGGTGACGTCATCAGTTCCGGTTATGGAATTCCCTCCTAATATAACAGTGGATTCGAAAGTTCCGAATGAAGGCAAACTAGAATTCAAAAAATACATCCCTTTAATAAATCCACAATACTCGGAACAAATGATTTATTTCACGTTTGATATAATCAACTATGGGGACGCAGCAATCATATACTTCAAACCAGATGGATTTGACTTCTCAAGTCAGATGACAACACAGTTGTATTCTTTTTACTTTAGCACAGTAACTTTCCCAACATCCATTGTTTTTAATTATAAAAAAGTTTTAGGAGTAAGAGATTGGACCAGATTTGGATTTAAAGTTTTCCTAAAAGAAGGTGTATGCGGGAAAGGAATATGCTATCTAGGCATAAAACCCTTGGCAGGTACACGTAACAGCGAAATTGTTCGGCTAATGATGTAATCAGAAATATATTTTTAGCTAATTTTTGTCAATCTTCCCGTCGTTCATAAGGTTATGCTTTATTTCGCGTTAATTTCAATACTTACATGTTACAACATAAGCAATATCATTTAGAGGGAGAAATAAACAAACATACGAAAATATTTTTTTTTTCTGATGAAATATGTTTCTTTAAAAAATGTTTTGAATGGTTTCACTGGTTTAAAAGTCAAGTAAAACTGGACTAAATAAAGAATTATTCTTCAATCTGAAAATAACTGCAAGCCATAGACCTGAATTTTTATCATGAAATACCTTTTTTAAAAAACTGAAATGTGTTATTTAAAAAAAAATCAGAATAAATTGAAATATATGCTTACAGCGTCCAGAATCGAGCACATTTCGAGATCAAGAAAAAGAAGAGCTGCAGAAACGTTCACAACGACATCTGAGGCACCTGGGAATGCAAGTGCTATTGCAAACACCACTATAGAAGCAAACACCACTATAGTAGCAAATGTCTCGGAATTTATTCCATATGGCGCCAACTTCAGCATTATATTCTTGACTACTGGATGTCGAACGTGGGACAACGAAAACAACTCATGGACAACAGAAGGTTGTCAGGTAATGCTTGGAAATTAGAACTTTCATTGTAATTCTCTTACCTTTCTGCATGCTGAGAGTCTGTGATAATTGCAGAATTCTTTTACAGGTGCTCCCAATGAGTGATCTGAACAATACTGTGTGTCGCTGCGTCGGAGACACTTTCTCCTCGTCTTTTTATGTACCACCAAATGTCATAAATTTTCTGACTGTGTGGGGAAAATTTGATGCTTCCAATGCAGCGGTTTATGGCACACTTATAGCTGTCTTTCTTGTGTATATAATACTATTAATTGTCCTGAGGAAACAAGACAAAAGGGACACAGACAAGGTTAAAAAAAAATTACCATTGTCCATAAATGTGAAATTGATTTCAAGTCCATATACTTAAGAAAACAACTGTTCTCTGTCTGGAAAAAGAAAAAGAAATACAGCAGGTATTAAAGATATTGTATAATTGTACATTTGAAATCATTTTGCAGTGGGCAGTCAACTTTCTTTCCGACCACAGCGCAGAACATGTATACTTCTACATGATAAGTGTATATACCGGGATACGTCGAGGAGGAGGAACCAGGTCAAATATATATTTTATATTAACTGGCGATTACGGCGATTCAGGAATTCGAGCCTTAAATAGCAATAATAATGAGGTATACTTCTTCGTTACAATTAAAATATTTTTAAACTTAAAATCTATTTATTTCTCATTATTTGATTCATTTTGACGGTTTTAGATGTAAAATTTGTTTCACCGATAATTATTTTAATCAATTGCATTGTCATTGTTTAAGGACAATGCAACCTAAGTTTGATCTTCTTTCTTTATTTTCTGTACAATTCACGAATTCTAATGAGAGGAAAACCTTTGTGCGATTTTAAAAGGACTGTATAATGATAAAATAATCTACATCTCATTTGAATTAAAATTAAATGAAGAACCAGCGCAGACTGTATTTTAAATGTTTTTTTTTCTTAAAAACAAAAGGATCTTCCTCATTTGATTAGGAAAACTTTTGAAAACTTCTGGTAGTGTATGCTCATTTTTTTTTCTAACAACATCTAATGCTACTGTTATATCTTAAATTAAGAATATTTTGAAAAGTAATCGGTGGTAAAGGTACAAGTACGATAAAGTAAAGATGGGGTGCAAGTTCTTTGTGTATGACCTAAATTTGCTCTGTCGGAATAGTACTTAATATCTTTTACGCCGATATTTTTTAAAGACTACATTCATTTGATAAATTTATATGCTATTAACTACTTTGTATAATTGTATATTTCTAGCTTAGTTTATCTGTCAACTTGTTCAGTATTCATTGAAGCAGAAATAAGTTGTTTTTTTTTTCTACACAGGGATTTTCAGCGGCAAGTGTAAGGATGTTTTTATTTGGAACGAATGAATCTATAGGAGATATAAAATATGTAAGAGTATGGCATGATAATTCAGGACCCAATGGCACCCAAAGCTGGTTCCTGAGCAAAATTATAATCGACGATTTGCAAACAAAAGAAAGGTATTTAATAAATGCATATTTTTATATTTTGACAAAGGATATCATTATAAAATACTACTTGCATATGATTTTATTAAATTTCTTATTTCTTGTCTGAATTTTAGATATTCGTTTAATTGCAACAAGTGGTTGGCTGTCGATGATGGAGATTGCATGCTGGATCGTATTCTCCCAGTATCTACTCCTAATGTGACGTCCTTAAAGTCTCGTTTTTCCGATGAAACGCAAACTCAACTGTACGAACATCACCTTTGGCTCTCTCTGCTCATTCGCCCAAAACAAAGCAACTTCACCCGTGTTCAAAGATTGACATGCTTATTAGCACTCATGTGTCTAATAATGATTTCAAATGCCATGTTCTTTAAAGCATCAAAAGAAAACCAAAATTTGGATCAGATTGAATTTGGGGTATTTAGGTTCTCCTTCACTGCACTCTACGTGTCCTGCATGGGAATTATTATTTCTACGCCACCAGTCATATTTGCGGCCTTCGTATTTAGACACACAAATGGCACGAAATCTAGGAAACATGGGGAAATCAATTCAAGCAACATCAACAAAAAAGGACACTGTCAGCAAACAAACGATTTTTCGATTGATGGAAAGGTGTTTAATTCTAAGAAACGCATGTTCCCTCGTTGGGTTTATTTCGTAGCATGGGTCCTAGTTTTGCTGGCAATCGTATCATCATGTTTTTTCCTAATACTGTACAGCATGGAATGGGGAAAAGCCATATCAGAGGAATGGTTGTCATCTTTTGTGATATCTTTCCTGGAGTCATTATTTGTAGTTGATCCAGTGAAGGTTATATTCATAGCCATAATTATGTCGACAATTTTGAAAAATCTTATGCAAGAAGACAGGCCTAATCTGGACCTACAGAAATTAAGGTCGGTTGCAGGGGAAATGAACATCTGTCGGGAAACAAGATTTTCAGGTTTATGCCTTTTTATACTCGTCACTTTGCTACTGTTTAAATTTATATACACTTACAAAATTATTGTTTCTTGTACATCTTTGAATTACCTTTTTTGCTGCAAAAGTATACTGATCTCATTTTTTAGATTTAACTAGCGAGGTTTTACCAACGTGTGACTTATATTCCAAAGAAGAACTATACAGCTTAAGAGAAAAATGTAGGGAGGAATCTAAGGCACGATCAGCACTGACAAATCTCATCTTGTTTATAGTATACATCATAGCAATTTATGGAATCAGCTTTATGCAACGAGATTCTCGATCTTTCAGTATGAAGCAGAATCTCGATAGTTTTCTGCTTTCAGGAAGTCGTGGTTTTGCCAACGTACGTATAAGTTATTATTAAATAAAGTTATATACCTCTACATATATTAAGAATACTCAAATTTGATTGGCTTGTTAGAAGGCTTTTAAACTCAATAATGACCCCAAAAAGTACCGTTTACAGCAATAATGACCTACATGTAGGAATCATTGCACGAGGTGTGTAATGACCCAGTCATAATAAATAATGACCGCTAAAAATGACCTGTTAATCTAAATTTCATTCAAGTTAAAAATTTATGCATACATGTACAGTAATTTTTGTTCATTACAAAAAAAAATGCCGATATAAAAATATGTATAGTCTTTTTAGGATACGGAATACGATTGTCCTTTAGATGCGTCACAAAATTTATCGTTTTCATTGAAACTTTCGTTACAATGCCAAATTCAACGAATGCAGACTCGGCTCTTTTGTACAGTAAAAGTCTGGACCAGTTTGTCATTGTACTCGGGAATGATATTTGTGAATTTATAAAAATAAATGTTACTAACAATCACAGGATGTTTTGATAAATCGGCGGTGCAAAAACTTACAAGACTTGCAGGCGAAAAGTAACGTCACTAGCGAATCCCGATCCCGGTGGAACACTGATAATAACAGTTCGTAGGTCTAATACACAATTGATAATTTTAGTAATTAAGCCTATAAAAATTGTCTTAACGTATATCGGTATAATAAAACAATTGATAAAATACCCCTTATGAGTGCAATATGGTGAAATAAGGACCCTCGACCTGGCCCTCTCTCTGACCTGAGCTGGCCTCGGCCACTACGGGGCGTCGGTCAGGTCAGGTCACCTCGTGGGCCAGGTCTCGGCTCCTTATTTCACCATATTGACCTCATAAAGAGTAATTAATTGTATATTATCCTTTCAACTACTGTAGCTTGTAATTGATCTCAAAGTTTATTCTACAATGAAAAATAATATGAGAAAAATACCAAAGAGCGAGGTTCATTTAAAGAATACAATATCCCTATTTATATTATAGATAAAAGAAATGTAATCTTTTATGATACATTTATACTTAGCGTAGACTTCAAGTTTCATTTGATTGCTATAATATATTATTAATTGCAGTTTCAATGTTGTATGCTCGTGTTGTATAGGAGATTGCGTTATTTATATGCATTAAATAATTCATAGTGAAACCTTTTTAATCCAACGCGCACTCGGAGACTGAATTGGTGTCGGAATAGACATGGTATAGGAAGAACAGTGCAACATGCAAAATAGAAAAGGGGAATGACAATTAATGTCATAATTCCCGTGTACAGTGAAACGAATTGCACAGGTGTCGGATTAGACCGTTTCCACTGTATATATTAACGAAGCCACGATCAAAAATTAATAAATAAATGAATAAATAAATAAATAAAAAATAAATAAATACAGTATGAGAAATGAAATACCAAGTATAGGTCTAAATTTGAAGCCCTCCACAGGCAAGTGCGGGCGTCGCAATATGTGTAAAAAAATTCTCAAAGGGACGTTAAACAAATTATCACATAAAAATGTTTTAATGGAACTTAACAAATACTTTAGTCAAGGCAACAATTCAATCTTTTATTTGTTTTAAACATTGCAGATAAAAGGCCATAAAGATTTTCTAAGCTGGATGAATGATATATTTATTCCAACATTTTACCCCAATGAGAGTTATGCAGGGACAGCGCTTTCAGTAATTGACCGTCAATGGTTGAAGGATATGAGAAGTATACGTGTAGGACCAGCACGACTACGCCAAGTTCGAATGAAAACTGGTAAATGTATTATAATGCTAATCCTCTCTCATATAACAAAATTAGTTAAAGTGAATATAACATCATTTGTTTGAACACATATTGTGATGATAGAATAACCTTGGAATGATGAAAGCTTCAAAATGATACAAACTTCTGTTAACTTTAAAAATGGCATTTTTAGGCAAATGTCCGTATTCCAGTCTCCCTTGGTCCTACCCTTGCATTGACGCCTACTCTGAAACAGACGAAGACCAAAGTTTATATTGTCTTCAATGGAGACCGTACAATGACACAGTGTGTGGAAAGGAATCTTATAGAAGCAGGTTCTACACAGCTGAAGCCTGGGCATACACAGACGCGAGTAAAATTTGGGGATTTTCTAGGGCAGGGGAATATAGCACATATAGTGGAGGTGGATATATTCTGAAGTTTGTGAAAAACAGGGTGAATGCCCATTTGCTTCTAGACGAACTTGTGCAATACAAGTGGATCAGTAGACATACTCGGGCTATATTTCTCGAGTTCACAACATACAATCCAAACGTTAATCTTTTCGTATACGCCATGTTCTTGGTTGAGTTTCCTGAAGTAGGGGGAGCCTTTACATGGACAGACACGCAAGCATTTAAACCTGTTTTAAATCTTGCATCTCTCCATTTCAGCATAGTGGTATTTTACATAGTTTTTATGTTATATTACATTTATTTACTTCTCAAAATGATTTGGCGATTTAAAGAGCTCGGTTGTTTGACGGTAATCAAAGAACCCTGGAACTGTTTAGAATGTTTTTGTATTTGCATAGCGTATGCCTGCATGGTGATATTTGTATTCAGGATGAAATCCACTAAAACTGCAATGGATATGTTTTACGAAGACAAACTGACTGGTGCCAATCGATTCATTAACTACGGACACATCGTTATGTGTGATAATGCATTTAACATTCTCTTTTCTACTCTTGTATTTGTATCAACGATTCAAATTCTGAAAATTCTAGGATACAACAAAAGATTTGTGGAAGTCATATCAGTCATGGCAAATGCTGGAAAAGATTTGATTGCTTTTGGTGTTCTGTTGCTCGTCTCATTTGTTGCATTCGTTTTATATGGATACCTTGTTTTTGGCTCAAAATTGGAGCATTACAGATCCATTTATGACACTTGTGGAAGTTTAGCCAACACCTTCATCGGTAAAAACCGTCTTGACCCCCTGGTTGGGGCAGCGCCCTTGGCAGCCCAATTCTTTTACATGACATACGCTGTTTTTGTTATCATGTTTATGGTAACTATTTTTATGTCAATTCTGAACAGCAGCATCTCTTTAGTGAGGGCTGAGACTGCAGTGACTTCAAGTAAAATAGGAATGGTGGATATTGTGAAAAAACAATTCGAAAGTATCCTTCATTTTTTCTACAGTCCAAAGAAGCAGAATATAAATGAAAGTAAGGTGTTTTTCAGTAAAATTCAAGCAATCGGAATACAAATTCTTTATTTGGTAAAAAACAAATAAGTTTCCTAAGACAATTGAAAAATAAAACTCATAGACTATTAAGTATTTCTTTATTCTTTAAAATTATTATTTTTCTTAAAATAGAGACGCAAAACCTACATATTAGTGAAGATATCAATGCTGTGAATGTAATGGGGCTTATCCGGGACATTGTGACTGTGTATGGAAGTAGAGGAACAAAGGTTAGTCCCTTCTAAAAGACAGATTTCTCCATATTTCTACAGATATGTTTACGTTAAAAATCTTACTCTTTTGCAGTTGGTAGAAAGAAAGTACTATGAAGACAATAAATTCTTGATCTCCAAAGACACTGCTTCCACTGACAAATCCGTAGAAAATCAGCCTAATGATGAAATGTTAATTCAAAAGCCTTCTTCCGAGGAACAGCAAAGACTTCCTGTCTTTAAAACCGACTTGAAAGATTCCGGACGAAGAATGTCAGAGTCGTCTGAATTGTCCGAGTCAAGTGTTGACCTGCTTATAGACTTTCATGACAAACACAACAACCGTTCGAATACGTTTTCTAGAATGTTCTGAAAACGTCCTCCGTGTTCCAGTTGATGAGAGATAAAGGTTTCTACATTGATCCCAATACTTCATACATGTTCTAGTCGATCGGAGTTCTAAGTTTTCTACGTTTTTTGGATACGTCATGCTTGTTGTACATCCATGGGAAATTTTAAGATTCTTTTTACAATGTTCTGAATACGACATTTTGTTCCACGTCATGGGAGCTAAATTTTTTTCTATTTTTTAAATTATATTGTAAATTATTTGTTGTGTTGTACGTAATTGCATATTACAGATAAATTCATGAAAATTAAAATTCAAGCCAGATTGTTAAGCTTGTCAGTATGATCACGTCAGTATTTATAATCCCTACATAATTACATGTATATTTCACTTGGAACATGGAACAAGATTGACCTATATTGAAAACGAATAAAAAATATTAAAACTTACACACGCTTGTAGAATGAAACATTGTTTTAAAAACATGCTATGTGTATACAACCATCAAATAATATGTAAAACACTTGCAACAATAGCTCAATAGAATTGATCTTCGAGAATTTTATTATTTCAACTGTTTATTTAGTTCTGTTTACAAATTAATACATGTACCCCCCCCCCCCCAATCCCCGACAAATAAATGGTTAAGGCGAGCTTGGCCATGCCAATATAATCACACCATTCTCCTAACCAATTTTATTATTACTTATATAAAAAAAAATCAAACTTTAAGGACACTTTTATATTTATTTGATATTAATATTAATGATAAACGGAAGTCATGTTAACACATCAACCATGTATTTTATATACAGGTAGACATATATATATATATATATATATATATATATATATATATATATATATATATATATATATATATATATTCAACGTCTTATTTACAGGCATGACATAATCATTAAAAAATAAATTTAAAAAAAGGAAAAAAAATATTTTTTTAAAAACATATCTTGTTGTAACTTTATACGAGTAACTGTAAGAAGATTTAGTAGCACAAACATTCTCTTTGATGTATTCATCGATAAACTTAAAAAAAATAGTATTCAACTGCTGTAAGGTGAATGGACTTCAAATTAATTCTCAAAAATATTAGTTGTATTCATAGCAGTCAATTAGGGCAATTGTACAATTCTTTGAAATATCTTTTGTACAATTAATTTCCTTTTTCATTTATTACTATTGGAAAGTGCATTTATTTCATATTGATGTATGACCAATTTGATATAGTTTAAAGAAGAAATCATTATGTTCATTATATGTAATTCTTTTCTTTGATTTTGTGTTACTGATAAGTAAACATGTACTTTTTGTAAATTTCACCTTCCAGATTCAATGTAAGGAATTGTTATAAAAATAATAATGGTGAATTGAAACGAAAAATGAGCAGCAGGCCTGTAGTTCGATGGGAAGGGTCTGGTCCCCACCGTTTTGTCTTTTGCTTTAAATTTTACATGGGATTTCTTTTCAAAGACCGGTTACCCCCTCTCTCTTTTATCGAGTGTGGTTGATTTCTCCAAAGATATTGTGCTCAAAATACGCTTTTTCGTTGAGAATGATAGCGAAAATTCTTTCGAAGAATAGATTGGACCAGTTTAGACTATTTCGTTTTTCCCTTGTTGAACTTTTTACAAATCTTTCTCGATGCTTCCAACTCCATCCCCAACTTCGAAAAGTCCTGCCACGTTCCTGCGCAGAAATACAAGGAATAAATTACATTATATGAATATCAAATTTGCATGGAATGTATAACATTTCTCAAGGTACCGGGTAATACATAAATGTATCTCATGGTTCCGATCTAGAGTTTGTATGGTAATTAAGATTAAATAACAGTAGTATAAATAACACTCCTATTACATGTATCTGCTTGCCATAACTATAAAAATCAAGGAGAATCTTAAACTTAGGCGAATAGACTCAAAAAAAAAAAAATCATTTAGCACCACCCGTAAATGATGACAATCAATGAAGGAAAAATGTTTTAATTGGAGCAAATTAATGAAAATAGAGTTATAGTATGCTCTTCAATATTATTTTTCAGGATGTTTACTCAAAGAAATGGGATACACTTATATGCTGGTATATTTAAAAATCATATATAAATACATATTTATGTATACTATATATTATGCTGCAATGCAATGCTATAATTACTGGAAATTAACTGCGTCATTACCCCCCCTTTTTTGCCCCCGCCATACAATGACCGGGACATAAAATGTTACCCTGCTCCGTCATTCCGTCATCATTCACTTCCCGTTCATAATCTCTGCAACAGTTGCATAAATTCAAATCAAATTTGACATATGGATACGTCATAAAAATCTACAGGTCAAGTTCATTAAGTTCGAATTAAGTCATGGTTCGATGAGATATCCCTCTTGAACTTATAAAAAATTAGAAATTTTCAGTTTCCGCTCTGTAACTTTTGTAGGGATGTAAATATAAGATTGAAATTTCATATGTAGTTATTTTACTAGAAAATACAGGTCAAGCTCGAATTTGGTCATGGTCCAATGATATTTTACAGAGTTATCCCACTTGAACTTAGAAAAATTAGAAATTTTCAGTTTCCACTCTCTAATTTTGTAGGGATGTATGTATAAGGTTGAAATTGTATATGCATTTATTTTACCAGAAAATACAGGTCAAGATCGAATACAAATTTAAAACTAAATATTGCATTTGAAATTTTGGCTGCTTGCAGGGGCATTCGTGTCGTTATCGACACATCTAGGTTTCTCTAGAAAAAGAAAGAAAAGCTAAATACATTAGGTGTTGGAAATATAATTGTAATAAAAAGTGTATGATAATATCACATTACATGTTGTAACAAATATGACCAACAATAAACGTGCGTAGGTTGAGGTTTTCTCTGAAAATGACAAGGCATCCGATATGCAACCACTTTCCCGATTAACCAAAATATGACGTCATATAGAAAAGACATGAAGGGAAAAGGTGTCGTATGAAAGTTCACGCCTTATTTTAAAATGTAGTAAAATAAATTGCAAGAAGACTTAAACAAAATCTACACTGTTTGTATCTTTGGCGTTGTTTTAAATTTTAAGGTGTTTTTTTTTTTCAAACTAAAAACTTTTAGTTTTATTTCATAAGATTAAAAAGTCAACGTATTTTAACAAAACTAGACTGTAGTTGTTAAAGGTAAGATTTGTTTTGAATCTATACATGAGAATACATGAATAACGAAGGTGATAAATAAAGATGGATATCGCTGAGATTGTTCTCTAAATAACGTTGTTTGGGATGGTACATGTATGTGATTGGATTGTTTTAATATTAATCACAATCAGTGGAAAATGTTCTCAAATATATTGTATATGGGTAGCTTTAAATTTTCATACAATTCTTCGAATAAAAAAAGAATCACTATGACTTGTCCTATGCTATTTTTGGGTAAAAAGTGAAAATGTGATCTTAATACATTCTTAATATTTAGAACATTTAATAATCAAGTTATAAAAATAGTAGCTATAAATTTGTAGGAAAGGTAGGTTTAGCCCATTTAAGTAGCAAAAAGTATATAATTGTGTTAATAACATGCACAGAAGCTTTAATGTCAAACATTTGCAAAAAAATAAATTTACCGTCACGGAATTAACCATGTTCTTCTCTAAAGCTGACAGAGCCCTCTAGCGAGATCGAACATTGGTGGTACATGTAGTTATGGAAATAGTCAAATAAAAATCAAAACCGAACTCCTACAGGCTTGACATAGCTGCAAAACACTATTGTAACAATCGGCGATTACGCGGAAGCTGTATTGGTTTTCATTCCATTGTATAGTATACATATGCATATAAGTAAATTTCCTCAATTAGTAATGATTAATTTAGGACACCTCATTTGACACATTATTCTTTTTTAGGACAGGTTTACATTACGATAATTTTTTATGTATTATCAAATTACGCTTTACACTCTAAAAATCAACGATTCTTCTACGTTTTGTTAAAAAAAAACAAAAATAAAATGATGTATTGGATTGGGATCCATTTTTAGACGGGGTCACATGATCCGTCTATTATTTTACTGTCAGTTGGGACTTCAACAGAAGCCGTGCAGAGAACACATGAATTGAATCTACGCTAAAAAAGGGTGCAGAAATTGTTTTGATTAGAATACAAACATGCTGGATCAAACTAAGAAAGTGATATGAAGATTTTCTCACTCAAATTAAAGAAGTGTTTTGAAAATTTTTAACGCGAAAAACATATTACTGAACCACTCTAGTATACAAACAACTCGGCTGCGTAATACAAGAATGCGTAAGCGTCATCAATTGTTTACGTCCGGTGTAACGACGAAAAGTGACCCCCGTAGAATATTGACCGGAGGTCATTTTTCTACGTAGAAATTTGACCCCCTGGTCAATATTCTACGTAGAAAAATGACCCCCTTTTTCGTAGAAATTTTGGCCTGGGGGTCATTTTACTCCGTGTGGGTTGTAGAAAAATGACCCTGTCTCTCTTTTTTTTAATACAAAAAACTGGTTTTGGTAGGAATATTCTTGTTAGGCAAATACGTAGAGGTAAAATCACGCAGCCTAAAAGCTTTAAAGTTTAAGTAACAAAAGGTTACACTATACCTTACATGAACATCAATAATACAAGATGTTTTATCCCATTAAAGGAAAAGAAATAACTATAGGCTCTTATGCTGTTCGATGACTATAAGAGCAAAAATACACGTATTCTTAGATTTGTTTTATCAAATTTTATATAAAAAAAATTTCCAGAGTCGTCATTTAAAAAACAAACAAGATTATTTACTTAGCTGGTGTCAGAGAGAGAAACTAATATATGAATAAAAATGCATGGTTTCTGTGTATAATTGTAATGTTCCTCTTTAAATTTTACCCTGGGTAAGTAATATAAAAAAAAAGAATGAAAATAAAGTCTCAAGCGTTTTTTTTCTTCAGAAGTTACAAGAAAGATTAATGTTTTCGAACCCTACCAAAATAAATCTGCGTGAAAAAATGGACAATTGTTAAGAAAATGAGATCTCATATATATCTTTGATTTTCTGGTAAAAAAGAAAAACAAACTTCTAATCAAAATATAAGGAAGATTATTTGTGTAAAAATAACAGACAGGACTAAATCAAAATTCCTCTGATATTCGATCTCAGACACAAAAAAAATGATAGCTCAAAATCTTTACCAATGTCTTTTGCCTATAAACAAAATGAGGCTTTTTACATTAAAAAAATTGATTAATTAATAAAAGAGGTGTTTGGTTTACTAAGAATTGACACAAGTTTATACAAAGTAGTACATATTTCCCCTTTCTAGTTACATGTAATAATTTTTACCAATAGAAAAAAGCGAATGTTGCATTATGAAAAGCTTCTCTGCCTATTTTACATATTATTTTTTCCCTA